GCTTTAAACTAATATTAATAACAGTTTTAACTATTGGGCACCAATGACCCTTGTTCTACATTCTTGTCCTTTGCTTCTTTTCCCATCTTAATGATAAAAACCCCTAAACCTGGCACAAAGAAAGCATGCCTGTTTCCCATTATAGAAGGAATCACACTCTTAGGTCTTGTTTCAATTGAAAACAGGTTATAGAGACCATTATTTAAACCTGGATAGGAGTGTACTCAAAGATCTAACGACAAAATAAACACACGTTTGGTTCATTTGAGGTTATTTTTAGTGTTAAGATGGGGGTTTATTTTGTTTTATGGATACAAAACACAGCTGACATAATACTATCATGAGGTTTAGAACAACATGTCCCTGTCAAATATGTGTCTTTGCAGGATTACTGTCACCCTATATTAGTAATCATAACGGACAGATGTGGAACTGGTTGAGTCACAGAGGCAGACATATGGTGTTTTTGTGAATCCTTCAGCTTGCCATATATTGTTTTAGTCGATTTCAAGATGAGTCAAATTCAAGACTTATATTTTCTCACGTCACCCTTTTAAGTTCTTTTTTCTGTATTAAATTAAAGCATAAAAGTTCAGTTCAATTCAAGAACAAGTCATCTTATTTACAGAAAACCTGACACTAAACATAGGAGCCATTCCCATAGAAATAACATCTGTTTTACCAATAATAAAGTTACCTCATTTTTTAAAGAATACAGTTAATGACTGGACATTATTTAATCAATTGTCTATCAACTACTTTTGTATTACTGTAACTTTACTAGTAATACAAACATGTACGTGTATTTGTATTTGTGTACTGATGTGAGTACAGCTTTAACCCTATCTTAGTCCCAGCAGCAGTCTTCTACCTGCTAACATCTACTGGCTTCATTTCACTACTCACTTCACTTCATGCAAAGCACCATAAAACCTCTGCCCTGCTTGCTCAAGGTGTGAATTGCCTGCCCACAAACACAGAGAAAAGGCTTTAAGGCATTTCTAGCACCTCATTTTAAATTGTAACCTCAATTTGGAAGAACACTATGATACGAACACATCGTGCTACAGGGATACAGCCAGATTCACAGCATGGGGGTGACACCTGTACAAATTCTGCTCACACTTCTTGAATTGTTCTCGGAGGACAAATTGTATGAATATCATTGCATTTATCAATGTGTTCAGACACTTGGATGGAAGTTGATTATTTGGAAATCAAAGTCCAAAAAGTCAATTCATCCTTTAAGGGTTACAGGATGTTGGCCAAATACAGAAAAAACATGTCTGTAGCTTTAAAATTACAAAATAGCGAAGATAAGAAAAACATGGATGGCCCTTTCCCCCCCAACAGTCCAACAAAAAGAACAATGTTAAGCTTTGTAACTCTACACAAAACAGGGAAATTAAGTAAGTAAAAAAGAATGGCAGCGAACCCCTACGAAGCTCTTAAACTCATCAAATCTAGTTATAGAAACCACTACTGACAATGAGTAAGAAAGACAAAGTGTGTGTGGGGGGGTAAACAGAGCTGCAACAGCATGCTGGTTTAAACAAACATAACAAACATCAGCAACCACTCAACACGCAGGTTTGCTGCATGGCTTGCAGCTTTAGCTTGCAGCTTTAGCTTCTAACATCTTGAAACTTCCACAGCAAACAGAGTACTGCTGATATTCAGTTGAGTGTTAATTTTGATAAATGGAAGTCAATTTAAATCTGGTCTCCAACTATCACCGAAAGAAAAACATTTGTCTCTTTAATGGCTAATTTTTCCTGTGTTTAGTGGCTATGTGCTAATTTTTATTCAGTGCACAGCTAAGTTGTTTCCCGTTGAATCAAAATGAGCTTTAAGAAAACAAGTTTGCCAATACTGGGTTCACTGTTCCCACTGCCTCCTTCTAGAGTGGATACAAGATTTGATCCATGCTAGCGGATCAAAGTGTTACACATAAGTGACATAGCAAAGGAAAAGCTAACCATAAAAACAGAGAGAGAATCCCAAAGACAAACGTGCAAATGCAATGACAAAATAATTTTTCAATATTTCCAATTTTGCCTTAACTTTACCGTCTGCAGATCTTTTAAAATTAGGTCTGAATAATGTAGTCATTGAATATTTTCTGATGCATAAACTGCAAATAAACAATGCGCTATCTTTCGCAGATACTTGTGCAGCAAACATCCGAGCTATGAGGTGAAACTCCCACTTAGCATAGCCATTCACTGGCCATTCAGCCAGTTGAATTGGGCTTTTCTGTCTTTAGCCTGTGGCAATAATGTTGCATGGATTGTGTTTGATTGACAGTTTCTTGTAAACCTAATGGATTTAATCAGAAGTTTAATCATTTATGAATGTGCAACATGTGCCTGTTTTTGTCATTGTGTCATTACTAAAGCACATCTACATTACTTTTGATTTACAAATCTTTCCCTACATCTAAACCCTTTTTTTAAAATCATAACTACTGGTGAACAATGCAAAATCAATGCTGACAGTTTTCAATCGTACACCAACCACTAACTGATTTTATTGTACATAAAGTTTCCACTCTCCAGTTGTCATGAAACATTCAAGCAGCTAACAGAAGAACAAACAACACAGCTGATGTAGCACAACTTGCTTTTGCCTTTCCCGGACTATAAATATTTATTACCATGGCCTGGTATCATCTGACACTGCACACTGTAATTTCAGTAATGCTGAAACGAATTCTTTTCCACTGACCTGAATAAACATACACTCTAAGGGACTTTTCCAAATTTTCCATCCATCTTGCACTGAGTGTTTTCTTGGAAGTGGGAATGAGGACTCGTCATAACCTCCACCATTCACAGCTCCCCATGGTGGTGGTGGTGGAGGTGGTGGTCTTGGGGGGTGGGGTGGGGGGTCAAGGTCCATTACAATGGGCAGACATCAGCTTGTCTATTGTCTCTCTTAATCCCTAATTGCACGACCATCAGCGATGTTGATTCTTTACATGCATTACAAGCGTCATTAGCAGAGTCATTAACACAGGGAAAACATGTTGAGGACCGTAGAGACACAGTTATCTGTCACTGTATTGGGTAAATAGTCAGGGTGATATCTTACTGTAAGTACAGATGTATAACAATAGCGTTTTTGTAAAAGAATGATAAGGGGAGGGAGTGGGTGTAGTTTAAACTGTAATCCCTATGATGCAAAATGCAGTGCTGTAAATCTTATTAGGAATGATGAATATGTGTATGTGTGACTCGCTTTAAAAGTTCTGTTTATGAGTTACAGAACAGAAAAATTGATGATGCAATGATGAGTCTGCAAGCTCTAAAACTTTTCCAAAAAAGACATTGAAAAGATGACTGTGCCAGACACGTACCTAATATTCAGATTCGGCTAAAAAGTAAAAAAAAAAAAATAAACAAGAAAATATATTACGTTAATATGATATAGTATATTTAGTGAAAATGTATCCTTTTACCACAGGTTTTATTTGTAAGGCAAAACAACATCATTACTTCTGCAAACTCATTCAAATCTAACCCCTTTTTTATTATTAACAATTTTCATTTCTGCTTAAAACCAAAGCAAACAGAGAAACAAATCAGCTTAAAGACTAATAATAACCATTACGCTTACCTCAGTTCTGCTCAATATTAATTGTGTCTCTTTGTAAGCTTATTGGTGCAGCCCACCACAAGAATCCTAGTTTCTCATGTGGTCCCTGGAAGAAATGAATTGCCCCTCCTCTAAGTATCACCCTTCTCATGTTTTTATCGGCAACAAGTTGGTATATCTTTTCACCCAAGTCTACACAATCACTGTGGTGACAAAAATAATGGATGCAAGAAGTTGTACCCTTGCATCCTTTGACATGATTTTAATGTTCCAAAACGTACTTGCCCCTTCATTACCATCTGACCCAGCACCTTCATCCCAAGAGGCAACACTACTTCCCAGTTCCCCTGCCTCTGTGGGAATAATACGTTTTCATTATCCAGAGGTCCATATAAATATCCTTACCATGAAACACATATCGAGACGTAACCACACGAGAAACAGAATTTAAGGTCAAATGCTGTTTAACATAAATGCATACATGGAATGGACATTGTGTAGCTTTGTGGTTGCAATCAAGTCACAGCAAAATAATAAGTGAGTTGGGTGTATTTAAAAAAAAAAACCCCACATACATAACACGTTATCATTTTTGAAACAACAGCTAGGCATCACCTAGATATCCACTAAACTTAACCAAATATAACCCAATTTTAGCTTTGATGTAGCCTACAATTTAGAAACATTGTAATATTTTTACCAATAATGAACAGGAAACTGATGAGTACGATAAAACTATCTGTCATTTATTTGAATGGATTGGAATAGATTATATTTTCTTTCTCTCAATAATGCATCCCTTGCAATACCTCTTATAACTCAATAATCCAGTCAAAATGATTAGACTGCTCCAAAGGCTGCATAACACTGACACAGTACTTATTTACACATTGCTAATTGCTACTATTGTGCCCACTAACTGTGCCATTAGTCTGTGTTTCTCTGTTCTGATAAGGATAAGGAGCTAAGACAGTCCCAGACTGCAATATCTGTGTATCTGATCTGGGCTGTCTGCCACTTAGAAAATGTAAATTAGTGACAATTATTCAGGCACCTCAGGCTGAGTAAGAAATACCTGGTAATGTTAGATAAAGCTCTCCATACAAGGTGCATTAATTACAATTATAGACAAGACAAGATGTTGTCTTAGTTGGAGAGACATTAAGTGGTGGGTTTTATAGTGGCCTGGAGGCTCGTGAGTGAGACAGAGGGTCTGTGTGGGTTTAGCGAGGTGTAAGCTATGACTACATTCATCCAAGCAAAACAAAGAACCAAATCCAATTTCCAAAAAAAAAAAGAAGATTGGATGCTGTGTACATTGCAAATTTTAAAAAGCGTGAAACCTTTATAACGAATGTTAAAAATATGAAATTGTATGTTTTTGAAAATATATACATGCTTATTTTGTTTTTGATACAAGAAAATGTTTTACAAAGGTCTGCACAGGGGAAACAAAGACTGAAAAAGCTTTAAAATGCCTATAAAACATCTTGTGGAATCCAAATGGAAATAAAAGAGAATCCCAGAGAGAAGAAGATGACTGTTTCTGAATCTAAAATTACATTTCATCATGGATGGTTCATATAATTAAGATTTAAAGGAACTGGAGAAAACTCTGGATGCATGGGACAAAGCCCTCAATCATTACTGAGTAGTCTTTGAAGTTCTCAGTCAGCTTTTCATTAAAAACAGACTGTCTTGGACATCACCGCATGGACTCAAAAACACTTCAGTAAACCATGCTGTAGATGTGGAGTGTCATTTGAAATCATGGACACGTGGTCATTTGAATCAGAAGTCACCATTGCTGATGGTATAGCCTGTATTTATGTACATGGGAAACCTTTACATCTGTGAGGACACTACTGAAGATATTGCTATATTTTTAAGGGAAGGCCTTGCTCATTTCTGCAAGAATGACCACATTTCTGCATGCTTGCTGATGCCATAAAGGAGACTCAATATCATCTGAATTTTAATAACTACCTAGAATTATCTATATCTATATGTGTAAAAACCACAACCAGTATAGTCTATGTCTCACAAATGTTTATTCCTGGAGTCAGAACAGTACGGAAGAAGCTGAAATTGTCATAACTGGTCATTGTGGGGGAGTTTAAACTCTTTTGGTCAGTGTGACTGCTTTTAATTTTACTTTTGTAATGATCTGTTATATGACTAAATCATATGGGAGACTTTTACCTGGATAAATAAAGCATAACGAAATGATTTCAAACACACACTTTGTGTATATTAAAAACTTAAAACTAGCTGATTGTTGGACATTTCAGTTATTAGCATAACTGTATTTATAGAGAATTGCTTGTCCTGCTTGTCATGTATAAAGATTCCAGGACAAAGATGTGAAAAAAATATTCTTTTTGTTCCCCTACAGCACCTTGTCTCCCTTCTCCTCCTGATGGTAATTACATTTAATGAGTTCAGGGTTCATCCGCAGGGTGCACTTCTCCAAATTGCTCACAGCATGGGGTCTGAAGTGGGATAGGGTAGGGGGTATCAGGACAGTCGAGGTCGGGGCCAGGAGTGTTTACCCAGTGTTTGGGGTCAAGACTTGCAGTGGCTCTACTTGTCAGAGAGCAGTGAAACATGTCATTAATTTGTCTGCTTTTGTCCTGCTTGTTTGTTTTTCTGGTAGAGATAATCACGTGAAGGTGGTGCTTGTCTTGGTTCTATTGTGTGAAACTGTTGTCAGTCCATCACCACCCTCAGTGCCCCATCTCTCCTCATTCCCTTTCTCCCCACTTCATGAATGGCCATTTTGCCACTATTTTCTGACTGCAGGGGGTGACCCCAACAATTTAGTTAATCCATTAACAACTAATTGTCTCCTCCTACTCTGTTGTTTGGACAAACAGCCTGGTGGGGGAGGTCAAGTCCTTCTGACCTATAAAAGTCAAACCAGAAGAGCAGTGAGCCACTTTCACTGCATGGATACCTTCAGTACTGACTGTTTACACTTTGACTTGCACTTTTAAGCGCTGGATTTTTGTTTCGAGCTTTTCTTGCTTTCTCTTTGACTCACCGCTTTTTAAGTTAATCATTGTTCATTTTTTATTAATCCTTTTTTGTGCATTTTGGAAATGTTTGGAAATCTGTGGTTGGTTTGTTTGTGTCTGTCCTTTTATGGGACAGAAGCACGTATATGGGCCTGGATGCTGAACATGCCCCACAGTCCTCCCAAAGAAGGAGCAAAAGCACTTCGACAGAGCACTCCTGTTGCCAAACCAGTCACGGTAAGATGCTTGAAAGTGGCCATGATTATTTTGTTTGAATTAACTAAATCATTTGACATCTGTAGAAAAGGTATGAGAGCAACATGGCCCTTCTGTCTTAAACTGGGCTTAGAATTTCAGGCAAAGTTTGCAATGATTCCCTTCTTTTCTTCAGGCTGCATGTGACCACGACAGAGCTTGTGGAAGGGGTTTCTCATGTGATCGCCACTTTGGCCTTTGTGTGCCTCTAAGAGGGGAGGGTCATTACTGTCGGAGAGATGCACAATGTGTTCGTGGACTTAGCTGCATGTTCGGGAAGTGCCACCGCAGTATCCCCGATGGACAAGAGGGTAAGGGTGGACCAACAAATGTAACCAAATCTTTTAAATTTCCTAATTTTTCTTCATACGAAACCAGAAGTGACCACTGTTTCCTTAATCCAGGTGCCAGGTGTAAAGTTGACAGAGACTGTGGAGCATCCATGTGTTGTGCCCGGCATCATGGTGAGCAGGTGTGCAAAAGAAGACTGACGTTAGATGAGAGCTGTTATGTGCCTGATGGTGGCCTGGCATTCAGCATCAACCAGATTTGTCCGTGTGATGAGGGTTTACTTTGTCGTGAAAGCAGTGGAAAGCTACAGAGAGAGTAAGTACTACAAACACTGGTTTACATCATCAGATATTTTACTCAATAAAAAGGGGTTCGCTAAAGTTACTGATATCAATATTCGCTCCAAAGCTTTTAGTTTCATTGACAAATCAGTTCTGGGGTCTTTGTTATCTAGATTTTATTGCGAAAAATTAGGCAAATGACAATCACATTTATACCATTTTGTAGGTGTTAATTCAAATTCTTCCTGGACTTCTACACAATTGAACGGACATACTGGGTTTTCTGGACTTTTAGGCCCTTTGAAAGGGCAGGTCGAGGACTAACTTCCCAGAAAACTTTTAAAGCTTTTAAGCCTCTCTGTTTGTACAACTGTTAGAAAAGTTTATCTTTTTATGTTACTTTTTAATTTTTATGTTGTATTGTGTATTTTTAAGACTTTTACAAACTAAGTAGGTTTAGAGTCATTTTTAATTTATACTGGAAATGTACATGTCTTTTGGCATAAAACAGGTTCCACAATACAATTTACAGATGAAATTTAAGAAGTGTTCCAAGATGGAAAAATGAAAAAGCCTTTAGCTAAAACAGTAAAAAGAAACAGCTCAGAAAAGTTGCTCTACATTGCAATGCAAATTTGTATGTTTGCACTATGTACTATGATTGTCTACTAATCTACAGCCTTAGTAAGAGCAAGCTTTAAGAGCTTTTTTCTTTCATTCAATATGACAGTAACTGAAAGCAAGTAATATGTTTTAAACATGGTTCAGTTTATCTAAAATAATTGCTACTTGCAAAGACTAACTTGGGTTTGTTTGTCTTTCAGGAGGGAGTTTATATACCAGCCAGAACGAACAAGCTGGACCTGTCAAGTGCCCAACCTTTGATACATTATCAACAGAAGTTCTATTTTCTGTGTAACTATACTGTATATATTTAAATGTATATATTTCTAAATATGCTGTATTGTTATTTGCTCTTATTAGAGGCTTAAAGAAAAGTTGTTTTTAATATTTCATTTTGTAAATTTTGACAAAAAGCACTACTGTATGTAGCTGGGCTCAACACAGCTAGTGTCTTATCCAAAATCTTCATCATGATCATTTGCTGATCTTTCTTTCTCTAAATGTCTGAAATGCTTCAAGTTTTAAGCATAAATTAAAGAAAAGGTTTTCCAAAACTAATGACTATAATTTGTGTTTCACAAAAAATGTATTATAGTTTCTTAATTTTAAAGCTTCCAAGATCATTCCCAATCACTAATCAAAACATTTGGGTAATGAGTAAAGTACCTGTGCATACAGAAACATTATATACACACACAAATGTAAAACATTTATATAATCCAGACTTTACAGACAAAGAATGTTTTGAAATCAAAATATGTTTTTTGGAGAATTTTGCCAAATAACATCAAGATAACAAAGGTAATTAAATATAGCAAAAATAAGAAGTAGAATCAGAATTATACATTTTTAAAAGTAATGACAGTAAAGTCACTATTATTCTTTAAAATAAAATTATTTTAGATTTTAGGGTTTTTGTTTGTTTTTTTAGATAATTTGTATATATTCATTTAAATCAATTAAAATTTAGAGATATTTTGAGAAAAGTTCATCTTCTTGGATGTTTTGTTGTCTTCCTTACCACAAAGCTCACCTTATAGTAAATTTCAAATTACATGTTTATATAGTTAACTGTTTAAAGACTGAATTATGAAATAATTGCCAAAAATTCCTTATTAAACCTTCTGACAAGTTGTTAAAAAAACCCTAAATGAAATATTAATTGGAAATATAGGAGTTTTAATTTGTTTTACATTTGCTACATCTGTTTGTTTGTTTTTTGGGTTTTTTGCAATTCATTGATTAAAAATGTATTGTGCAATTTTGTTTAGATTTGATTATGTAGAATTCTCAGAAAACCCATGTTTCAAATATGATGAAACTGAAATGATTTTAGGTGCTGTATTCCTTTAAAGCACCAAGTCGACTGTGCAATCTTATGAAAACAGAGTCTGTCTCCCTCTGAGCACGTTTCTTGGACTACAGGAAGGAGTTACATAATATAAAGGAATCTTGCAACTCCTAATTGTTAGCATCACCAGATGCTGTAATGCTAGCTGTCCCCTGACCCATTCTTAGATCAGTATCTTCCTCGGACTACGTCGGGCATAGTCTGAGGGCCATTCACATGCTAATCGTCCAGTTTGCCCCTTCAATTTCACGGTGACTTGAATTGTTCTGTGAAGGACATTAGTGTCTAACCTCTTTGCTATCGTGTTACAGAGCTTATCATTCAGTCTTTGCAAGGAGGTATTTGGTGCTGTGAATAGAGCCTCATGACAAGAAAGATTGGAAAGTCTTAGGATGTTTTATTAAGGTATTGATGTGTTTTTTCTGACAAACCTTTTGATTTTATGAACAAACAGGATGTAAAAGGCAAAGAAGAATTTATGCCAGAAATAATGCACAGTAACTAATCACAACTAGAGTTATTAAGGCTTCAGGAGAAGCCAGTGTGACTGTTCTAAACCTGCCAGCGAGAACACACGTTTCACACACATAAGAAAGGCAAACGAGACAAAAGCGATATCTAATAGCACAAGACTTTGAGAAACCTTATATTGCCGAATGCTGCAAAACAGTGGCCTATCATCTCCACTTAAGAACAGAAGTTACCATTGTAGGCAGCACGTATCACAGTCAACAATCGCATTTTGGAGGTATCTATACATGTCTGTTTGCACTATTTAGCTTCTTAAACGGTTTTCTATTCCTGAATGCTTTGTCCTCTAGCATAAAAGGAAATAAAACCAGTGTAGAATTTGAAGACATTTTAAGAAGCTGCCTATTTCTCTTTTTACTCCAGATTTCTGTAAATATTCGCCTGATGTATATATTAGACTTGTAGTCAAGACCGCCTAATCCGAGACCAAGACAAGACCAAGACCAGAGGGTATCGAGACCAAGACAAGACCAAGACCAGAGGGTATCGAGACCAAGACAAGACCAAGACCAGAGGGTATAGACAAGACCAGAGACAAGACCGAGAGCGAGACCAAGACAAGACCAAGACCAAGTATCGAGACCAAGACAAGACCAAGACCAAGACCAAGTTGAGACGAGACCAAGACCGAGACCGAGTCGAGACGAGACCAAGACCAAGACCGAGACAAAAAAAGTCTTTAAACTGCAGCCAGATGCTATTCTATATACATATTCAGGACACCTTAAACTAGTTTTTTAATTAAGCAGCAAGGCAGAACAAAGTCGGGCCTGTATCAAGACACAGGGACTAAACCCCAATTCAACCAGACCCAAAACTGATCTGGAATTAAAACAGGACTACAACAGTAACCAAGACAGAACCAGAATCAGAACTAGATGATAGTAGCACTAAAAATCATCATAGACCTGCACTACACTTATTTTTTAATTCTACCAAAGTACAATATTTAGATTGAGAAAAGTTTATATAATTATTTAGCCTCGTTGTGCAAACAAGCCTGCATAACTTAATAAATATAGAATTTGAAAAGTAACAAATGGTATCTAAAAAGAAACACTAGGTACTAGATACATGTTCTGATGAGTTTTGGCAAACAACCATTTGACTAACATGTGTGTCTCACCTGCTCTTGTTCCATCTCTGTTCTGTCGTCATTCTCTCTCTCCCTCTCTGCTCCTCTCTCTCCCTCTTTGTGCTGACAATCAAGCCAAACACCAACATCATCAAATATACAGTTGAAACCAGATATTTATGTACTCTTCAGATAAAAACACAAACACTTTTTTAATTGTAACATCAAATCACATGGACTCTACTAACCTATCAGAAGCTTCTTTAGCTCAGAATGGAATCGTCTGGAGTTTTCTTATTAATTAACAATAAACTTAGTGTATATGTACTCCTAAATTTGATGAAAGTGATTAAAATAGACAGCTCCCTCTTTTTATTCTGACATTTAACTAATTCAAAAGATATTTCAACATTTATTTATCTAAAACAAAAGTTTACTCTAAATTGATGTTTAACAGTAAAAAAAAGTTTTTATGTTTTCTCCATAAAGTGTATGTAAATATCTGGTTTCAACTGTGAATATACTGCTGTGTATTGAAATTCCTCTTGTTTTGCATAGATATACTGAACAACATCCAAAGCATAATATATAAAATAACATCTACCTGAGTTTTTTCTTTGAAAGAAGCTCCTTATGTCCATTGTTGTGTTCATCAGTACACAACTGAAACCGATTTAGAGAGTTTGTTTAGCCGTGGAGGGTAACAACTGAAAATATGAAATGTAAGCTAAGACTAAAAAATCAGCATTGCTGTTCGGCTTTTTATTTATCCATTTGTTGATTCACTCGAAGAGCAAGTAACGCAACCAAGTGATCAGTTTGATATCAATCTTTTGTGATACACCGTCATATTTACATTATTAGTTCAGTACGAATGATTTGCTTTGGTACCTGGTCAAACTTAAGCTCTCCTCTGTCTGCAGCAAATTCGCAGGCAGCAGCTTCTCCCCCCTCGCTCACATGGGTGCTGCGCTCAGTCGCCTAGTGCCTGAGCTCGGATCATACCAAAATTAGGGGGAATTTACGACGGTGCGCTCTGTGCTTCGTGTGTTGTTTTTGGGCTTAAGCCCAGTAAGCCACCCCCCCCACTCCGCTGATGGTTGACTCCAAATCTCCCGAACACTATGTCGATTTGAGAACGCAAGACCGAAACAGCGAGACCAAGACCGAGACCAAGACAAAAGTCCGTCGAGACCAAGACAAGACCAAGACAAAAGTCCGTCGAGACCAAGACCGAGACCAAGACGAGACCAAGACCACGTAAAAGTGGTCTCGAGACCGGTCTCGAGACATCCAACTCTAGTATATATACAAAACCGATCTATCTATAACTATAAAAAGTGATTGTTTTTTGTGAAGTTAGTTTTTATTCTATTATTTCATATTTATCTATTTTTATACCCTTTATTTAACTATAAAAGCCTCAGTGAAATATAAAACCCTTTTTACAATAGTTACCTGCCCATGTAAGCTGCAATATATTATGTTACCAGGTATGGAGTTAAGGGCGTGGCCACCATTATTAACAGAGGTACCAATCATAGATCGTACAAAAGGTGGATGTAGCCACTGTGATGTCACCCATTGGTTTGTGAAGTCCTATTTGCAGGCTCAAGATTGGTGTTTTCAGACAACTTTATTTAAAAACAAATTATGCGACAAAAATAAGGCTTTCTGCAAAGTACAACCAACCAAGCAAGTGAAATTTTAGCATTTTATAAGTTACTTAGTGCTAATTAGTAGATATGTGTTTCTTGAGTCCTAACATTTTAAGAATGCAGCTTGCTAGTCTAGCTTAGCTAAGATTTACCCTCCCCCCTACAGGTGATATCTTTTGGCTAAAGAAAACCTCAATAAACTCCAAAAAGTAGTGTCCACAACCAGTGGTCTTCAAGCAGTGTATAGTTTTAGCCCTCAAAACCACATTAAGGTCAAACCAAAAATCAAATAACCCAATGACGACTCTACTGCAAATCATGTTGTTTTGGTCAGATGGGCTTAATTTGATAAAACTTGCATCCTTCTGGCTAACATTAGCTTTCTTGCTAACACGGATCTATGTGCATGATATTAATATTAGTTTTGCAACAATAGCAACACTGATCACACATAAAGAGATCACACATAGAGAGACTCGCTTTAAATTTTGTACTAGTCAAAAACTAATAGTTTTAATTGTATAAATTTAAGAATTCTCTGTTAGCTGTCTTGAACACACTCTACAACCCTGAGAGCTAATCCTTTGAGAGACTTTGGTCATTTGAAAGTCAATGTCTGAGCAGTACAGAGAGCTTTTGTGAGAAGCTGACAATAGAGCTCTTAAACCCATCCTGCCAAGGGAAAAAGTGGAGATAGGAGAATGGGTGAAAGTCGATTAGCCTTACCTGTGATAGTATAAAATCCCTCCCTAAGTTATCAAGAGTTGTTAGCTCTTGAATCACCACTCCAGGTAAACTGCTAAAGAGCCATGAGGAACCTCTGACCTCAAGGTGGTTGAAGACATTACTTCTGTCAGGTAAGTGTCATATGTGTTATATTTTCTCAGACTTATTTTACACATTATCCTGTTATTGATAATTCTTGAATTTCTCTGCAGCACCACACTATGGCTTTTGTCAGTGCACTGTTAATGCTGCTGCCTGTTGCATGGTCATGCATTCCCCAAAAAGCAGGTAAAAACACTTTGACACAAAGATGAGTATGTATTTAACATGCTTCTGCCTCATGACCTGTATAGCATTTATATGTAGATTTTTTTGGTCATTGCTTTTTAATGCAAAAATCACCACGCATCCTAAAACTATGACTTATATGAGTTATTTTTATACATATATGAAAATTATCCCTAAATGTGAATAAAGCTCAAGAGGAAAAACAAAGAAGGAATTGATAACCACTACTGTCACAGTATGATTAAATAAACTGTAAGGTACAGTGTATAATATTCCCTTTTTATTTTCATTTTTACTTCAGATTACGTTATGGTGTCATGTTTCCCTAATGCCATAATTGCCAACGTCCCAGAGTGTCCTTACGGCTGGGAGATTGAACACTTGTCTCTCGGTGGAGTCTGTTACAATGGAATACACAGCCCAGGTTACTACCGCTTCATCATCCCAGATCTCACACCCAAAAATCACTCATACTGTGGGACTCAGTCTGAGGTGAGAGGCCATAATAACCAGTCCTTTGCCGCCATGCTTAGAGATTAATTTTGTCTGTTTTTTTTGAGACAATACCTGAGATTATTGTTGCCTCTTTACCTTACAATACAAAGCACCTTGAGGCAGCTGTTGTTGTGGTTTGGCACCATATAAATAAAACTGAATTGAAAGGTGAAATACTGACTTTTTATTTTGCAGACATAGGACAGGGGCTGGAAATGTAATGAAGGCATTGCATTGCAGTGCATTGCATTGAGAATAACAGACAATCAACAAAATACAGGGTCACTAAAATGCAATCATGCTGAGGTTATCCCAAGGTCTTGGCATATAAAATTAAAATGATCTATGTAGGTATGAACACTACTGCATTATTTTTTGTACCGGTAATTTGGTCTTACTGTCCCTTGAGGATAGTACTATTTAAATACAGAGAAGTCTCTCTCAGTTTATTTAAAAGTATTAATAACATTATTTTATACTTTTCATGCCACAGTACATTCCCGGCAAAGACCCCAAATACATCTTCTACAACTCCATTGTGTCCAACGATACTTCACTGACAGTCAGAAACCAGCCTGTGAACTACACCTTCAGCTGCACGTACCGAGCAGCCTATCTGGTTAATAATGCGGTCTTTAGCCAAAGGTAAGCACCAGTTCAGGATACGAGATGACCACAGCTGCTGTCTGGATGATATGTGCCTTCTGACCCAATGACTTGCAGCGTTTTTACTAAACCCTCTGCTTTTTCCAGAGTGGCTACAGTTTATGTCAACAATGGGAGTTTAGGCACTTTTAGATCACAGTTGTCTATGAATGTGTTCACGGTGAGTAGCTGCTCAAAGATTCGCCCGGTGGAATCGACATGTTTAACGTAATAAATGCTTTTTATCAGTGTGTTTTTGTTATAAATACTGTCTTTAATAAATGAAGGTATTATCGTGTACACACCACGATCATTGAATGCAAACGAGAACTGCAGACATCTTGAAAAACACAAAATGTCCCATATTTCATAGAATTCAAAGTTCCTGTATGCCAAGGACGCTCCCTATGTGATTGATACCTCTGAGATCGGCTCTGAAGTATTCATTGGCATCGAGGCAAAAGGTCTAAGTAACAGGTAGACTTTAGATGTTTGTATGTTTATTTTTGTAGTTTTAAAGGTAAGATTCTCCCAGACTTCTAAAGCGCATTTGTCCTTTACATCTCAAAGATTCAAAGTTGTGATAAACAACTGCTGGGCAACTCCTTCACCTTACTCCACAGACAGGAAAAGGTGGAGCCTCATCATTAAGAGGTACTAAAACACAAAAGGCTAAAACAACTTAAGGAACATTTTGTTCCCACTTCTTTATGTTTTATAGGATGTTTAATTGCTGTTTTCCAACAGCTGCTCCTCTGACAACACTGTGACTATTTTTGAGAACGCCAAAGACAGCCGCTCCATGTTCAAGTTCAACTCTTTCCGCTTCCAGCGGCAGGAGAAGGTGTCCACTGTTTGGCTTCACTGTGAGGTCCAGGTCTGTGATGGAGAAAGGATCACCTGTCAGCCAGTGAGTGTTTTGTTATTTAATGATACCAAAAACATTATAGCAGCCGTTCCCATCTACATGTTGCTGTTTTGCAACGGCTCTTTTTAAATGTCATAGTAGAAAAAGCACAGATGTTACTAATAACATTAACTGTGGCTCTGTTGTTAATTTCCAAAGTTTGACATGCACTAGATACAAAACCTGAAACATCTAAATGGAATTCGGCTATTACAGTTTTCTCAGAGTTTAGGTCTCTTAGTCAATCTTCTTTAGCTCATCATCTCTGAGAGCTGATTTTCTTCCAGGCTTACCAGATTTCTTCCCTGGCAGCAGATCACTTAATAGATGCATTTACAATCCTGCAGGTTAATCTGGGCTGACCAAACCATTTTAGATTAAACTCATTAAACTCACTATCAATGGACTGATGCAGACTGCAAGGCTAGCAGCATTAACCAATACATTTTAAGTCTAGCTTCCACATAGCTGGTAAGTTGCCTTTACTGGCCAGTCCATGTTTTGGCCTTTGACACCATGCAATTATAAACTGAATAACAGATCACTATAACATTGAATTCTGTGTCTTTATACAGTTAGGTACTTTTTCTGCAATAACATTTATAAATTAGTGATTTTCCTCTATTAACAAAAAAGCTAATTTCACATTCTGACTGGTTGTTTTTCAAGTTCTTATACTGGCCTTTAACATCAAAGTTGAGTACAGTGTAAAAAACAGACAAACATACTAAACAGGAGACCATGGTTGCTTTTTCTTGAAGAGCCCCTGCTCTGTGAGGAGTTTGCCATCAGATGTAGACCCAAATGGGGGGATCCTTACTGCTGAATTTCACATTAAAGGTAGAGTAAACCGTGGCATATTTATGACTGAGATCAATAAAGAGTAACTCATGCAGTCGATTGTATAGTATGAACAGTACTGTTTTTTTTTAACAGGTAATCAGTCTTCTAATAATGGACACATAACAGGTAAAAAACAATGCGATGATAATTTTGGTTGATTGAAATCATAATCGAAACAAAAATAATCTGAACAATTAAAATTTTTTGATAACTAAGGTCTTTTATGCTTTAAATAAGTAGAGTTTAACTGAAATGTTTAAATCTGTGTATTGCTTTGTACATGAGCTGTAAAACCACTCAAGTTTAACATGAACTCATCCTCTCAAGGCTTACGCTCAGCTAATTGTGTTCAAACTTGGTTCTCATTCACTGAGGTTTGATCTGTTAATTTTTTTCTCCCTCCTTTAACAGGCGTCTCAGTGCTCATCCTGCTTGTGGTCCTGATAAACACATGTTATGATTTCATCAATGGATCAAGAATTTTATAAAACAGTTTCCATTAACACACAAACAAAGAGGGGAGTGCCACCCAGGACTCAGGGAGCGTATGAATACATTCCTCCCCACGCGATCATTATCTCACAATATGATTTTTATTTAGCATGTTTATTGATGCTTTGAACCTTGTGTGATATTTCACTCCTTCCTCCAATAAAGATTCATTACATTTTGAAAGAAAATGAATTTTTTTTCCATTTGTTCCAAACCATAAAAAACAAAAAAAACAAAAAAATTTCATTCAGTCCTTAAATTAAAACCAAATTTTCGGTCTGACAGCACTACAACAAACAGAGCACATGACTAAACATAATATTACATTTTTTCTATTTCCATGACACAATCTAGAACAACTATAAAATGTCTTCTTCATTTCATGTTACACTGAAAATAAAAACTCTGATATGGGATTTATTTATTCAGAGGAAAAATGAAAACAGATTTTAAATCTCGTTGTTTGCTTGTCATGTTTTTATGGAGTGTTTTATAATGGGAAGAGGTGTTTTTCTCAGTGATCAATCACAGCTCAATCACAGGTATTTGATTATTATTATAATAAGCATTATCAAACTTCTGATTTACATGATCTAACCAAACCCCACAGTGATTGAGTTTAGTTATTTGTGAAATAGTCATATGACAATAATAGAAAAATACTCAATTACTGATTTATTTATTCTCCCCAGGTCTCAGTGACCAAACTGTGCACAGCTGAATGACAGATGTTGATACAACAACCAGCTCTGCAGCTGTAAGAATAAATTAGAAATGCTTGATTAGCTTACAAAATATTTTCTTATGAGATAACTTTAGGCACGTCAGAGCTGACTACATGTGCCACAACAAACAGTTTGAATGGAACGCTAAGCATTTTGAAATAATTTACAGCCTTGTGTGCAAAAGTGGATCCACTAAATACTTAAATCACAAAGAATAAAGAATTAGAACTGCAATTAGTTGCAATCCAAACTGCAGTCTCTGTTCATGCATTGTGTTCTGCATTTTCACTTTGGCCTCCATCCACATTTTGTTTCTAGTCCTTCTTTTTATACATGGATGACTCAAACTCATCTTGCATGGAATTTTTTAAAAGCTGTTAAAAACTGATATCTTAAAATAAATTTCTGCAGTATTCCCTGCTAATTAATATGCGTCTTTTCTCTTTAGATGTGTACTGGAGGCATCGTGGGTTCAGTTATAGGAGGTACAGTCAGGTTTTTTGGGGCTCTTTTGTCTTCACCTCTGGTCACTCCTGGTTTCTTCAATGGGAGAAAATACAGTAAAACAATAAAAAATACAAGTCATTATACAATACAACATATATACATATAAATAAATATTTGTGAGTATACCTCTGTTTTTACTGGTGAAGAACCACGGTCAGTGAAGACAGGATTAAATCCAGCTCTGTTCAGCAGCCAGTACGTCTTTTGAGTCCCTTTACCCTGTCACAAAGAGAAAGACATTCTGGTCAACCTAACATCTTTGTTATTTCATTTCGAGGGAAAAAATATTACAGACTGTTCACCTTCATTTGAATTTCTCCTCTTTCTTCCAGTTCAAATGATCCAGCCTGGAAAAGAATGTCTGCCGTGGACTGAGATACATGAATCTTCAAGGCTGTATGTGACATACACATATACTTCTAAAGAGAGATTTTAAGCAAGACAAACTCCTAGGTTTGCATGTGAGTTCAACAGCTCTGCATGTTTAATCATGCAAACATGTTAATATAGACCATCACATCAAGTTAATTTTTAAGGCATAATACGACTACTGTAGACTGTTAGCCTGAAGATTAGCACAAAATACAGAAGGAGAATGCCATAAATATTTGTAGGTATAAACCAACCAAGAACTGGACTAAATGAAATGGATATTATGAAATTATGAAAAATTAAGGGATTGTCAACATAATTAGAATTCATCCTCAAGGCACCATTAGCATCTAGAGAAAATTTCATTTCATTCTCATACACTGTACCCAACATAAACTCGTATGAGTGATGGATATATCTAACAAACCAAGGACACTGCATGTTAGCCACTGGTCTCTCTGTTGCCAATGGGGTTAGCTCTGGCTGGTCATGTGAAAGAATGCAGTCTTGTGGAACTTGGACACTGACTTTACTTTCAGGCCTTCAGACCCAGAGAGTGCATCTATCATTTATAAACAATGCCACAATGATTCATTCAAAAGTAGCCAAACTGACTGAAATCTAAAATTGTCAAACTTATAGTGAAGCAAGAAATCAATAGTCATAAATGTTTTGATTTATCTGAAAAATGCACTGTCATTTCTGCCCTATTAAAAAATTAAAGTGACAATAGTCACTTCAAATCATACCACAACTACATAAATCTTTTTTTTTGGGTTATTCAGAGTTTAAATTTTGAAATTTCAACTGCTTACTCACGTAAGCTGTTGCTTTCCATGCGAGAAGCTGTGTTCACCGTGTCACCAAATAGGCAGTATCGAGGCATGGTGGTCCCTACCACTCCAGCAACCACTGGACCTACAACATTTTTAAAAGTCAGAATGGATTTTGTTTAAATTACTCAAATGTTCAATGCACAAACTATTTTTCCTACTACAAAGTCGTTCATACTTCTTGTCACTTGTACTTAGGTCTCAGTAATAGAGCTCTAGGAGTTTGTCAGTGACCATATGCTAGCCAAGTGGTGACAAAGGAAAAATGTGTATTCCATGACCGTGTTTGCTGGAAATTGCAGGGTAGTGACTAGTGTGAAATTGGTCCAAAAAGTATATAGTCCTGGACCAAAAGCCCCCGTCCAATGGCTTTGGTCACGATTTCCATGGTTGCCAATAGTTTGTAACTTAAATATTTGCAAATAACTGAGAAGTGCAACACAAGCCAAAAAGAGAAGTTTTGCCTTCAGCGTAAAAGTTGTGTCTTATTGGTGAAACCAACACATTTTAAAAGATGCAACTTTTACACTGAAGGCAAATAATGTCAATTTCCAGTTTTGTCAAGGTTACTATGGGTAACCTTGACAATCTGCTAGTGACCAAAATAATCAGAAGGATTTTTCTTTGTGCAGCATTCTCTTTGTGACTAATTTTACCCAGCAACAGCCACCAACCTCCAGCAATCACTCACTAACCAGTTGGGGTACTTTTCAAGACCTTCAAATTCTGTAATGCCATGGTCTCCATTGCTACTGTATCTTACCAGAGTGTATCCCAGTGCGAATTGCAAGGCTCTCATTTGGCATGTGACGGATTCTGAACACCTTTATGCCTCTCAAGAAATGTAGCGCCATTGTGGATATCTCCAAAGCATGCAAGTTTCCATTGCTGATAGGCAGACCACTTGCCACCATGTATGCATCACCAATTGTTTCCACCTTGTAATGTAGAGATGTAAATTACATTTTTAAAATAAAATAAAGCTGGAAGAAAATAAAACATAGCACAAACAAAAAAAAAAGATCCCTGAAATTTCAAGGAAATTAAAATTTTCATTAAACAATTGTAAATTGTTTTTTTTTATTATTTCGTGTAATAGCAAATAAATTTTCTAAAGTTTTAACTTTTAAGATTTTGCTTTTAATCAGATATGATTTCTCTGCATTGCTGGTTAAATTTCTTTAATTGTTTTTTTTTCTTAATAAGATAATGTAACTGGATGCTGAGTTAGTAAATATGGAAGGAAATGGTAAAGCTATTCTCATGTCTTGGTAAGAAAGTCAATATTTATCAAAATATCTATCGTATGATAGATATTTTGCTTTTTATGATCACAGTATGTTCACTGTCACTTACTTTGTAGACATCGTACATCTTGATGATGTCATCAAAGAGACTGTAGAGGTCGTTGAGGAATGTTACCACTTCCATCGCAGAGCTGACTGAGCACATGGAAGTGAAGCCGACAATATCAGAAAAGAAGATGGTGACCAAGTCATAGCTTTGTGGCTCCACTGACTTCCCTGACATCAGCTGTTCAGCAATATATCTAAAATCATTGCAAAAAACAACAACAACACAAGATAAGGTTGACTGAGTATAGCAATACAAAATATATAGTTCCTTTGTTATCAAGTACCTTGGCAACATGCTGGCGAGGAGCTTGTCTGCACGAGTTTTCTCCACTGTAAGCTGATTGGTCCTCTCCTCCACCACGTCCTCCAGGTGATTTGCATACTTTTCCAACTTGTCCACCATATTATCTAGAATGTTTGCATGGCTACAAGATAGAAATTCATCATTAACTCTTTTGCAATGAGGATTTAGTTAGGTTAAATCTTACTTAGATTTGAGTAAGACTGAAGACAGTTGGAAGTTTTAGCTTGTGAACTTTAACATTTATGGGCATTATGGTAAATTTGTGTCTCACTTAAATAAAAATGTGGAATATGACTTTACACAAAAACTTTTTAAAATAAAAATTTAGGGGTATGATATTACCTGTCTGGACTAATGTCTTTCAGCCGCCTCCGTATAGAACCAAATGGCGGTCGGTGGTCAGGGTTTTCACTCCAGCAGGCTTTTAGCAGTGCATTGATGTTCTCTTCAACCAGCTGTTCAGACAGCACTGGTCGGAGGGGTTCCCCTTGAAAAGGTGTACTCAACTGCATAATAATCTCTGTAAGAACATCTAGCATTAGAATTTAATGGCCTATATCTTTCAACTTTGGTTAGACTAAAATATAATACCGGAAAAATTGCCATAAAATTTTGTACTTCAATCCAATGCTACATTATTTCACATATACTCAGTAATCCACAAAGATACTTAAGAACTTGGTTGAAACCATCACATTTTAAAGTTATTACAAAACTGGGATAGACTGATAATTACAGCGCAAAAGAAAATGGAAGTAGAAATGCTTCTAATGGTGCCAAATTGCCAGAAGGTAAATAAAGCTGGAGATTGTAGCTAACTAACAGTAACTGATTTTGGGCGTTGACAAAAAATTTGTAGGTTAAGACAGTTAAGAAATCATGCCAACCTTTAGGGTCCAGATTGATGTCCTGATACGGACCAGCTTTGGAGTTGTACATTAGTTCCCACATTATGATGGCAAAGCTGTAGACATCACCTTTGGGTGTTCCATTGATCGGGGAACCGACCTGTCTGAGAAGCTCAGGGGCAGTCCAGTACATCTCTACAACATGTACTCGTGTGTTACTTCTCCATCATGTGAATTTATTTAGGATAACAGTGATTATTACAACAAATTCTGATTTCACTGACCTTCGTAATTGGGGTTTTCCAGTGAGTTCATCTTGCCTTTGTTTCCATATTTAAACTCCCACAATCCAAAGCCAGAGAGTTTGATTTGTAGTCGGCTATCCACCAAACATGTGCTAGGTTTCAGGTTCCCGTGAAATTTTAGGCTACTTTTGTGAATAAACTCCATTCCCTGGACAACAATTTAATTCTTTTAAGATTTAAATAGTAAAACATTTCAGATTACAAAATACATATTCAGAATTTTAACATATAAAAGTAAAAAAAAACAAAAAATGGTACACATACAGTTTGATGTCTATTTTAAAAATGTGAAAATACATTTCCAATTGATTTTTTAAATGGAATTAATTAGATTAATTAATAAATTCATTCATTCAGTCATCTGTTTCTTTTTGTAGATATGTTTTAATTATTTTATTTATTTATTTTTACAATTTTTTAATCACTTTATGACTTAAGTTCCTGCTATGGACCTGAGTACATTTTTTTAAATTGTTATTAGAATAAGAAATTTACTCATTAAATAAATAGACTTACATTGACGATGTCATATGCAAAAGACAGCTTGAACATCCCATCTAAGTCAACGTCTGAAGCCTTAAGAATATCCTGCAGAAATATGCCAACATGGTTCACTTTTAAGTTAAAGGTTTATTTATGGTTAATGCAATCCATTTTGAAAAAAGAACCTTCAGACTTCACTGACCTTCAAACTACCTTTCTTGCAGTACTGGAAGACCAAGCAAATGTTTGGTGGTTCGATGCATGCGCCAAAAATTTGCACCAAGTTCTCATGTTTCATCTCTTTCATCTGTCTTGAAGAGTTTAAGAAGGTTAGGTACAACATAAATAAAAAGTGAAGTAAAACATAATAATAGGTTGTATTAGATACAGTCCACCTGGATTTTTGGCTGTTAGAGTTTTCAGAGTAAATAAAAAGTAAATTATGTTTTATCTTGAAAAAAATGAGGAACTTTACCATATTGAACTCTGCAGTGATCGAAGGCTTCTGGAAATTACAGCTAACAGGGTTCTCAGTGTACTTGATAGCCACTTGATTTCCCTATGTGAAAAATTAAAATAAGAAAATATACATTTCTTAAAGTCATAGTAAAGAAGAGTATGTAAAGTACTATGTAAAGAAAAAAACACCTCTTTATATTACATAAGCATTAAAAGCTTTCTTTATAATTCTTAGATAAACAATAATTCATATTTGTATATGTGTTGATACATTTTCTTTTGCATTTACATTAAATAATATTTGAAACTAGCCATTCAGACAATAAGCTTGTTTACTGAATTCATAAAAGCCCATATGATACTCAAACTTTGACTGGAGTCACTGCAATTCACATTAATTCAAGTCAATTTTGAATTGAATGTTGAATTTGAATTGAATTGAATGTAATTTGAATTACACATATATTCTGTGTTTGTCTAAAACCTGCCCTATGTTATTATTATGTTTAACATGTACATGTAATGGATCAGGTATTCTGTCCACAATATAGGTGAACTGAGACTGCCAGAAACAAAATAAAGAGCAGAAGCCATAAAGACTGCTTTAGCTTCGGTTTTGTGGCTTTAAGTTTTGTGTTGGAAAAAAGAGATACCATCCTTCTCTACCTTTAACCTTAATATAGTCCCAAAAGTTACACAGGCTCACTGTAAACTCGAAATAAAACTAGTACCTGGTAGAGACCTATGGTGGTGTAGATATGTTCTTTGCCTGCTTTGTCCCTCAGGTCGTAGCTGTTGGTGGATAAACTGGCCTGAGAGCTACCACTCCAAGTATGAGTACCTGAATTGCTTAGAGACATACCCTGATTTCCCTGAAGGAAAAAAAAACCCACATGTGAAACCTTGTACACTTATCATTGTTCGACTTCACAACACCTGTCGAATGCTCATACTGTAGGTTCCCTGATGATGGTGATGTCATTGTAGTTGATCATCCACCAGTAGGAGTCATCCAGCCTCGTCTGGAGTCTTAACTTCTGCAGCACCAGCACCCCAATGCTCAGAACTGCCAGTACCCCAATAACAGGGAAGGTCGCAAGAAGAGCCAGCAGGGCAATGTCTGTGTCCAGAGAGAGCAGTAAGTTATTATGACAGTTAGACATCAAAGTTTCTTCAAAAAGAATACACACAAAATAAAGGTTTAGTGTTTTGAAACAAAAAATGTAGGTAAGGCATGAAGTCAAGCTGAGCTGCAATCTAGCAGACTGGTTGATACTGTGGCAGACCTAAATAATTTGTGTTTTTAAGCTGTGCTTTTAAGCTGCTTCTCTCACCCCAACTCCTGCTCTCACCCCAACCGGTCGCCCCTCCCTGAGCCTGGTTCTGCCAGAGGTTTCTTCCTGTTAAAAGGGAGTTTTTCCTTCCCACTGTCGCCAAAGTGCTTGCTCATAGGGGGTCAGATGATTGTTGGGTTTTTCTCTGTATCTATTATTGTACGATCTAATGTGCAATATAAAGCGCCTTGAGGCAACTGTTGTTGTGATTTGGCGCTATATAAATAAAATTGAATTGAATTGAATCTCCACATCTGCTTCACATCTGCAAGCCACTTTGCAACCTAGTAAGTCCACTCTGTATTTTGTATCAGCTCTGCTCTGTGCTTGGACGTTGCTGCTGCTTTCTCTACCTGTGCCTTTCCTGACATGGGTGTGGAAGTCCCAATAGGCATACGAAAAACAAAAACTGAAATCTAATTCCATAAGGAATAGGTTTTACCATTAGTCACCCATTCACATATTTCATTGTTGAAGCCACATACTGGCACATCGGGTGGAGGTCTTCCTTTCGGCCACACCACAGACGCAAACATTGAAGTTTGTCTGAAATAAAACATTTTCTGATAACTATCATGTCTCTGTTGTGTTTTTTGTGTTATCATTGAGATGTGACTGAAGATTGTTGTCATACAGATGTGATACAAAACAATTTGGTACCTGATATTTTTGGTGTGACTGTCAAAATGGAGGATTGGGACAAACTTGGTGATGTCACCTGTGTGCTGGAGGTCATAAATTGAGTAGTCTAGATTTCGCTCTCCCTCTCTATCAAAATGGACCAGTCCAGAGGCTCCTGCAATGACAATCTGTTAGTGAATCAAAGTGTAATAGAACATTATGTGTCACCCTTGAGTTTGATTGTTTTAGCAAAGTGTTTGTGGGTGTAACTACAACCGATTAAAAGTCAGTTCACCCAAAACATACAGTATCACCTACCCTCTGCCCATGGATCTGATTTCAGTATCAATCTGTGTTACATCCACAGATGAAACTACTTTTAACTACAGCAGGTTTAAAAATACCAGCAGCTAGATTGTCTAACTTTTGTAAAGATGAGGAATTCCCCAATTTCTAGATGTAAAATTTGAACTTGGATGCCAAACTCTATAACACGAGGTATCTGATAAAAATACAATTAAGGTAAATTTAATTCATTTTTTAAAAGGTTTTTTCAAAGTCAAAATAAACTTTATTGTGATTATTATTTTGTGATTATGCTTTGTAGACATGTTGATTTACTGTAACAGGCCCAGAAATATCCTCTTTATTATTGCTGCCATTCCTCTTCCTTGTCAAAGTTTTGGTGCCTTGACTATACTGATGAATGGTTTAGACAGGCTTGGCACCTGGGACAGTTTATTAGATTTCCCATTCATGGGCTGAATTGGTTCAGTTTACATGTTTACCTAATGCAGCTGTGCCGTGAACGCGTTACAGAGAGTGAATGTGGCGTGTTGAGGTAGTTGGCATGGTTAAAAAAATAATAATAACATAAAAGTTACTCATGCTTTAAGAGCTGATGGTCAGCTGACCTCAGCAGACCATAAGCATTATCCAAATTTATATCAACAAAACAAACTGTTAGCACTAAACTGATTATTTCCTTCACTAAAGAATATAGAAGCCTTTCAAGAACCAAGTAAAAAAAACAATATTTGCACTTTACACTGAGGCAAAATCAAAATACAGGTATTGAATTGTGTAGCTACCATAAAATTGAAAGTTGTTTCTTTTTTTCAGGATCTGTAATAACTCCCGACCATCATGAGGGTCTTTGCCACCTTTCAGGACTTCCTTCAGTGCCATCGCGTACAAAAGCACAGCGTCATGCAGATAGGCAGAGTATGGGCTAACCTGAAATACATTAAATCAGTAAAATAAATATGTGAAAGTTCAGTATTTTCCATGATTCAAATTCATGCTTTCTGTTCCCTGTGCCTACTTGCCTGTTTTTCAGATGTTAGGTTACTCCGAAATGGATGTCCGCTCAGTCTTTCAAAAACTTGTTCAAAGAAATCATAATACTCGTAGCCTTCGTAGGATTTCTGAGCAATAATGAACGCCATGTCAAAAGCTCTTACGGCAACCTCATCTATCGTGTTGTTCAGGGCATTTTTCCACAAGTTATCCTGCTCAGGAAAAAAAAAAGTTTAACATGAATAATACACGAGTCAGTAGATGCATAAACACTTTGAGTACTCCAGGAGAGTAGAAAAGCGCTATATAAAAATCAGTCCATTTACTGTTTACCACAAACAGCTTTGATCAATTTTGATGGCTCATAAAGATTTAACTCAGTCTGGAAGACGGATGCTATGATGCTATTTTATTTAAAAACAAACAGTCATATTCCTAATCATACATAAAATAACGTATAAGCTCACTAACCCTGAATCACTCTGCAGATATAACACAGCAGTAACAAAGTTTTCTTTTATAGCACAGCTCATGCAACACTACATGCTTTACATGCAGATTATTGACACAAAGGAGCGAATATTCAAATCCATGAATTAAGTTATATCCAGCATGTAGGCACTAAAACTGTATTTGAGCCTTTAATTTTAGATAATGTGTGCCTTAAAGTTTTATTTAGTTTCCTGATGAGCACGGTTCTAAAAGACAACATATCCAACTCAAGAGTCAATCGAAAAGTAAAATATTGGACTTTCTGGGTCTAATTTAAAAAAAAATAAAATCAGGAGGCTGTACGTTATTAATGTTGTTGAATTTTGTTTGATAAGAATAGCCTCAGGATATAACGAATTTAATTGAAGCTTACCTCTCCTGTGTCTTTTCAGGCTTTGTTGTCTTGGTGTCCCCCGTTTGTTGGTGATTTACGCAGCTGAATATTTGTC